AAAAAAAAAAAAAAAAAAGTACCACCATAGTCTTCACCTGTTTTGAAGACAGCAGAACAAAAGAATATGAGAGCATAGTCCTGCCAAAGATATTACACTAAATTTATGGCTTATGGTTTCTGTTAATGCAACTTTATCTGGCTACAAAAGTTCTCTCATTTCTCTGGTCTTCAATATTTCATATAGTGGCTGCCAAATTCATTAGTGGAAGGTGCAAAATATGATCATCAGTAAAATATCTGGCTAAGTAACCACAAAAGTTTTTTTTATAGATAGGAAGTTTTAACATTTGAGAGCAAAACAGCTGAATATTTCTGAAAACTGAATTAGTGAATTTGCCATACCAGATGACATACACATCTGAAATACTAACATTTTGGAAGATACCACTGAACAAGCATAAGATTTGGAATGATGAAATAAATGAAAGGAACAAAAATAGAATGAGGGTGTATAACTTCAGGTGTAAACCAGGAGCTCTTCACTGAGAAATGACCAAGAGCTCCAATATAAAGAGATGACCAAAAAAACAATAGGGAATTACCAATCTGATCAGTGTGTTAAAAAGTCACTATACTCTATTTCCAATAATAGTGCTATACAAGCCGGATTACTGCATTCACAGAAGACAAATCGCAAGTGGAAAAGCCTTTACAATAACCAGGGGGAGTGGATTCTAAAAATGCCTAAGGCAGCATAATTTCTTTAGACTACATAAAGCTGTCACTGAAAAGAGGTATGACAACCTCCTTCTGTGCTGAGAATCTGTAAAGTCCCAAGAGAAGAAAAACTCACCCCAACAGATAACTTCCCCAAGAGACAGCTGTTTTGGTACAGCAGCAAACATGAAAATATTTAGGCTGACTTAGTGGAAGTATGTTTGTAATCAAAAAAAAGATGTTCTAGAATGCCTTTCCAAACAAGACTGTGAGTAAAAAGTCTAGGGATTTTAAGGATTAAGCAAAAAAATTCTGAAAGGAATTACGTGATATAGCAGCAGCAGTAACAGGAGCGCAAATCACACGATTTTTTTCAATCCACTCTACCTAAGGCATCAATCTGCAACTCCTTATCGATGGCATACATTTAAAAAGGGTACATGATAATACAGGCAATGAGAGTGCAAGAAACCAATTAGAGGCACTTAGCCTGCCGCATAAATTACAGCGTGAAGAAGTAGTTGTGAACGAAGCTTTTACTTTTGAGCAAGTGTTTTTATTTTGAAATGTCTTCTAGTGTAGATATGACCTTTAGATTTATGAGGAAAACTGTCCTTCCAAACAATAACTGTTTGTTTAGAGTATTTATCAAGACAAAAATATATTAGAAAGTGTACAATCAGGCATGACTAGTCTGTCTTAATTTTTCATCCTGTAACACACTGAAGTCAAAACTTTACAATCAATTAGCGGTTTAATTCTAATGTAAAATACTTCCCAGAGAAATAACTCTCAGATAGAAACAGAACACATCATCTACTTTCAGAGCTTTATTTTTAAACTTCAGCTTTCTAAAGATAGATAAGCTGTTCCCAACTCAAGCCATTCTTTATATTTTATCCATCAGTGAACAGCACATAGAGATGGAACAACAGTATTAACTTTACAATTTTAAATAATCAGAAACAAGGCAGAAAAAAGAAACATTTTCAAAAAAGGTAAAATATAAATGTGCCTTTGCATGTTCAATGCTACTGCAGTATTTGCTGCAATAGTATTTCACAATCCTTAAACCTCCCTCTGTAAAACATAAAATCAAAATATAAAGACATAATAATACATGAAGAACTAAGAGTTTCAAGCACGCTCTGACACAAGTCCTGGTTTCACTGCGTCTCACTTCTTTATATGTACATTTAAGTTTTTTAGTTGTCACCCTCCTTACATAGAAATCTCTCTTTGGCAAGTACTTAAGATAGAAAATGTTAAAAAAATTAAAAAAATCAAGATGCTTTGCTCTTCTGTATGCATTATGTTGCCTGTATCCACTGTGTGAGAATTTGCATAAAAACACTTCAAGCAGTTAACACAGTCCAGAGATAAAGCTCATCAAGCACATAAGGTCTTTTACCCAACACAAATAAGTACCTAGAGCTGACATTTAACCTACCTCTGGAACACAGCAGACAGATTAAACTATCTTCAGTTTTAAAAATTATTATTTGAAACAGCCTGCTCTTGCACTGTATTATGACTATATCTGACACAGACATAGAACTAAGATTCCTCAGCATAGGTAGGTAATTTATTTTAGCATAATCTGTACACTGCTAAATTAACCATGAGGAGTGTGTTATAAAGGTAGAAAACAAATACTTGAGAATGATGAAGAATGTTTACTTTATCTTATTTTTCACAGAGCAAATGTAATCCTTCACCTGCTTCTGTAGCCATTTTCTCAGTTGCAACACTTTCTCTGAAACAGAGGAACCATTTCAACATGGAGATGAAGATAAAATATTTCTCTTTGCTATCACCTTATGAAAAATGACCCTTAAGTTAGATTTAGAATCCTTTTCTCAATATTACATTCCTTTATCACTTCCTGACAAATCTCATCTAACATCAAAATGAGACCCCAACATCCATACCTCCTGGTATTAAATACAAAATAATATTCTTTTCTATTTATAAC